GATTTTGGGTGTGGATTCTGGGCGTTCTTATCTGAGATATTTTGCAGGATGGAAAATTGGGAAACGTTTCAATATAGAATCCTAGAGTTGGAAGAGACCTCGTGGACCATCCAGTCCAACCCCATTCTCCCAAGAAGCAGGAAAATTGCATTCAAAGCACCCCTGACAGGTGGCCATCCAGCCTCTGCTTCAAAGCCTCCTAAGAAGGAGCTTTCACCACACTCCGGGGCAGAGAGTTCCACTGCTGAACAGCTCTCACAGTCAGCACAAAGCAGATTGCACATATATGCTCTTTTATGTGTTACAGGTTGCACAATAGCCAAATCCATCACAAATGCTCTGTTCGTGTCACATGAGTTCTCAGCTCAAGTTCTTTCTGTTCAAATTACCCTGGTTTTTCCCCCAAATAAGACCTAACAAGAAAATAAGCTTAGCATGATTTTTCCAGGATGCTGGTAATATAAGCCTTCCCTTAAAAAAATAAACGCCAGTTAAGGTCATCAACCAGAAGGATACCTTTACCAGTAGTAAATCCATTGCAACACATAACTGACATATTGAATGATAAAATAACAATATTGGTATATAATTGAATACAGAAAAATAATATTGCTGACATAGTATTATGATGATGTTCCAGAAGAAGAAGACATGGTTGTATTTGAAGAAATGTAGATTTTTGTACGTGAATAAATGAATAAGTGTATATTGTTGTACATCAAAAAATGAATCCCTGATACATCTTTTGGAGCTCTCTCTCTCTCTCTCTCTCTGTTTATGTGTGTGTGTGTGTGTGTGTGTGTGTGTGTGTGTGTATATATATATATATATATATATATATGATTATATATACGAGATCAGAATGAAGAGAAGGGTCATGAAGGCAGTTCCTATCTTGTCTTCTGCACTGTGCTTATAATATAATATAATGCAATATAATATATTGTATATACATATAATATTGATAATATTATAATGTAATACAATATAATACTACTAATAATATATTATAATTATATATTTCATATTAAATGTAATATTACTAATAATATTACAGTATAATGTTATAGTACAATGTAATATATAATAGTTATATAGTGCTATGATAATAATATAATATATTGTATTTACTTTTTACTTGCAAGCTGCTGTTGCAATCCAGAGCAGGGAATGAGGCCCAAAGATAACTATCCACCACACTTGACTGTGAAAAAACAATCCTTTTTTATTGAAGAAAAATGGTTACAAAATAAAGGAAAAATGCAAAGTCAAAAGCCACAGCAAAATCAGCAAACATGAATTTCCATGAACAAGATCAAAACCCAAAGCCACACTGTAAAATACTGGAACCTATTAGCAATCCAGTAACCGTACTTGGTGGCCTAGAAATCTTTCAAGACGATGGCCAGGGAAACCGGGAGAACTGCCAAGGTCTTCATCAATCTAAAACGAT